CTAGCGACCGGGGGAGGGGGGAGGGAGGGTGCAACACCCCTAATATTGCTCATGAACAATTTCAGGTAGATATCTTGTAGATTTTCTGGTAAATTCAGGTCATTCTCATGGCATAAAAAAGTGAACTCTCTAATCTGAATTGGAGTTAACAATCAAACAAACTAAAGACGTTGAGACGTGTTGTGGCAGGGAGACAATTGTGAAATACCCTTTCTGACGATCTGGAGACTCCAAATTTCCAAAATTTTCTCAATTTCCGATTATAAACTGAAAGTAGCAATACTTATCTTCATTGTTAGGCAATACTAAAATATTGGGTATGAAAGACTCTAAAAATGCCATTTCCGACGGTCTAGAAACTTCAAATTTTCAAAAAATACGGTTTTAAAGAACGTTCAGTTCGAAAAAATGAGGTGAAAAAAACCACTTTTTGCAACTCTGTGATCAGGGCTTATAGTGCTTTGGCCCCCCAGTTATATAGTTAAAAAATGCCCTGATGCACGCTGCATTATTTTTAATAATGTTGTGTGCTACTTTAACGCGTATATAGTAGGGGTGGGCGATACTGTGAATATCGATTTCGATACTGGTTACTTTTTCATCGATACCACTGTTTCGATACTATTTCGATACCGATACTGGTATTTCATACTATGAAAATTGAAAAATGTCAATATTTATTTCAAACAAGAATTTTAACAAGAAGTTTAGTAAACAACTAATATAACAATAAAAATTTTTAACTTTGATGAAGAATTAAATGTTTTGATTTAAGAAAAGCAACATATTTACATTCTTAGGTTTCAAGCTGCTTCTTCTATGGGAAACCAATTCTCCTGCTTTTGAGAACAGACGCTCCGAGGGAACCGAAGTAGCAGTTGCACACAGATATTTCCGAGCTAGTTTGCTCATCTTGGGATAGTTCTTTCCGTGTTCATGCCACCACTTGAGTGGTTCACTGTCTCTAGGTATCAACTTTTCCCCAAAGTATAGCCCAGTTTCTGACATAGCATCAGCATCCCTTGTATTCAAATGATTCACTGAATCTGCCACTTTAGAATCAAACTCTTTCCTTAGTACATCACTGCTACTAGTTGCTGTAATTTCCGACACTGACGCCAACATCAGAGTGATCAGATGTCGACGCCATTTGCATTTTGCAGACAAAAAGCGCCAGAAATATGGCGGGAAACAATCAAACAACAACCAACATTCCCTATTGTCCTCATGCGTCCTAACACTACCCTAAGTGTACTGTATGTCTCACTCTGCAAAGAAGAACTTCGTGTAACATTGTTTGTCAAATTTCTACGTCACGTGTCGAGTATCGATAACATCGATATTTTTAAAAAGTATCGATACTGTCTTTTGAATTGTAAATATCGAAAGTATCGATACTTTAGCACCGGTATCGCCCACCCCTAGAGAGCACTGATTACAGATCTCATCCAAAACGGATTTTACTACATCCCGGGCGTTCTTTGTCAGTGCCCGCGATCACAATTAGTATTATCAGCGGTATATGATGATAACATCGAGTGTTTCCTGAAATCACAATGTTTGAAAGAAAACATCTTAAAAGCCAAATATAAATTATATAATACTCGATGTGAATTTATAACTTGATTAAACTGTAACAGTTTGTCATCTATATTTCAAGATATCAGTTTGCTTCTAGTCAGTTTATTTGATCCAGACATATTGCCTTTTAATTTTTTGACAAAACTGTTTATGTTTTAGCACTAATTTCACAGATCTTATATGAGCTAGTAACATTTATAGCAGCTCAAATAAAAAATAACCAAGTGACTGGACAGACGGGAGTTATTTCGCATTTTGTAGCAATATAAAAACTTTTGTTTGCGGTAATCTTCACCAAGTTTGTCGTTAGCTCAAGCGGTAAAGGCGCTGCGTACCGAAAGTGAAACGGGGTCGGGATCGATGCCAAACATTTATTATCTGATTTAGCTC